TCCTGGGGGCTTTGGGATCCCCTCCTGTGGCTCATGACCAGGAAACCTGTCAGGGACAGCAGGTCCCACCAGCCCAGCAAATCACCTGGCACTGCCAGTGATGGCTTCAGTGAGGGGGACAGAGTATGAGGTCCGCACAGCATCTGCACGGCACGGTGCTGTGATGGGGAACGCGCACCTCGCCTGGGTGCCAGTGAGAGGGTTGCAAATCCCAAATCCCCCTAGCCAGAGGGCAAGGGATCCATCCTGCTGCGAGGTGGGATGGGGTGACATCACCCCAGCAAAGCCCGGGCAGGCCCATGGCCGTCTCCAGTGGCTCCATCCTCGGTGCTAGGTGGGTACAGGGAATCTCACCACCCATCGCGGGCTGCTCCGAGCTGTCCATCTCTGGGACCTCATCGTAGTCCTCCTCCTCCTCCCCATATATGCTGTCGTACTCAAGGTCATCAGTGTTGAGTGTGACCCGCCTGTCCTGCCCTAGGAGACAGCACCGCGCGTCAGTAGCCCTCACCTCCCGCTCCATTCCCTCCATCCTGCTCCCGCCAGCCATGGCCGTGGCTGTGCACACGCTTGCACACACCTGTGCATGCCTGCACACACACACACACACACACACTCCACACCCGTCTCCTCTTCCACTCTTTAATTAAAGCCCCCTGGAACGGCAGCATGGCTGCTAATAGATTATTCCTCAGTGCCTGTGAGTGGAGGACAGGGACACGACCAGCCACCCACACGGAGCAGGGGAAAATGGGGATGGGGACTAAATCACCGGGATGACTCTCACCCTCCTCTTCTTCAGCGTGTGACAACTTGAGCACAGGGACCGCATGAGCCTCGGGGAACGGCGAGGTGGGGAAGAGCCCTGTGAGGGGGAAGGACATGGTGCAGGCATCAGGGAAGAGGTGAGGGGGACACAGGGTGCTCCCCCCCTCCTCCTGCAGGGAAACCCCCCACCCACCTGGGGAAACTGCCCTGGCACGCTGCAGCACATGGCCAGAGATGGGGGACCTGGGGACACCCCCTCCTCTCTGCACCACAGACCAGGCTGCTGGGGGCTCCCGGAGGAGGGAGAGGCAGGAGGAGCTGCTGCCCAGTGAGACAGCACCCGCTGGGAGCCCAGCAGGATGGGGATGGGGATGGGGATGGGGAGGCACATGTGCCCATGGGGCCAGATCTTGTAGGTGCTCTGGGCTCTCCATCACCTGTTTGGCCGTGCTCCCTCTCTTGGCGGATGCTTCTTCCTCCTCCCTGGGCAAAGTGGATGCTGCTCCTGGCCTGAGCCCCCCAGCCTCCTTGGAGAGAAAGTGTCCACCTCATCCCAGCACCCCCCTTGCCCCCATCCCTCCAGCCCACTCCTCCAGTCCACCCTCCCCTCCAGCAGTCCTGGCCCCTGCAAGCCTGCCTGCCTTGGCTCTGGCACCCAAGCATGACTGGGGCGCAGTCCCCATAGTCTCTTCTCAATCGGGCAGACCCTGGCAGTGCCCAGACCCCACTGGCACCGTCCCAAGCTGGCTGCCCCCAAGGATCCCTGCTGCGCCATCGCTTCTGCCATGTAGCATCCCTCCTTCCTGCACACGGTCCCATGCTGATGTTGGCCCTGACCAAGGGGGTCCCAGAAGGTCCCAGCTGCCTCCAATGTCCCCGAAACAGGCAGCACACCTGGGTACTGGGACCTCTTTGGTGCGACACGCGTGGGGATAGGAAGGGGGATAGGAAGGGAGAGTCACAACCTGAGTGTTCACGTGAATCCAGGCGCCGCGGGAAGTGACCACCACAGGCTGCAGGAGAGATGGGGGGGGGGGTCAGGGGCAGCAGGGTCCAGACCCCCAGCCCCGCAGCAGCAGTGGGGGATGCTCACCACAGTGCTGGCTCATCTCCTGCCTGACAAAGGCGCGGATCTCCTCCTCCTGCCAGGCACATCGAGGGGTAAAGGACCCACGTTGCAATTAGAGAGGAGGAAACTCCCTTTCCCCAGGCCCCAGCAGAGCCCGAAGGTGAGGGAAGCCCCTCCATCAGTGGCAGCGGGACAGATCCAGCACCCCTTTCCACCCCGGTGACCTGAGCACCGTGAGCCTGTGCTGGCTGCTTACCATCATGCCCGGCTCCCCCTTCTCCCCGCGGAGCCCCTGGCTGCCGGGACTGCCCTAGGGACAAGCAGAAGGGAGGTGGGGGGCTGGTCCTGGCTGGGGCTCACCTGGGCAGGGCTAGGTACCCACTCACCCACCTGCTCTCCTCTCTCGCCTGGGATGCCGGGCACGCCGCGGGCCCCCGGCACTGACTGTCCAGGGGGACCTCTCTCCCCCTGCAAAGGACACATGCTCAGGATGTGGCTGGTGGCTCTGGAGCCTCTCTGCTCTCCCCAGCACCATGGATGTGCTGCTTTCCCCATCCCCACACCCTGGGGGCACCTGTGCAGGTGGGGATGGGGACGGGGATGGGTCCAGCCCAGCTCCAGAACAAGCAGGGTCCCAACCTCCAAGGTTCCCATCCCCTGGGCAGGGGGACACAAGTGAGGACCCCAAAGCCAGTGAGCTGGCAGGGCAGGGACAGAGCTGGGACACAACTCCTGATGTCACCAACCCATCACCCACTCTGGGAATAGAGCCCTTCCCTCCTCATGGCACCTGGAGGGGAACCAGCCACCCGTGGTGAGGACTCACCTTCTGGCCCTGCATGCCCTCGGGACCTCGTGGGCCAATGCTGCCTGGGGGCCCGGGAGGACCAGGAGCACCATCACTACCCCGGGGACCGGGGCCACCAATGATGCCCGGGGCGCCCTGTGGGAGAGCAGAAGGTGAGGCTGGGGGCGTCAGAGCCCCCGGCCCCACAGCAGGAGCCATGGGCATCCTCTGACCCCGCAGCTGGGCATCCCCAAAGCACTGGCACTGCTGCCTTCTTGTAGAGAGTGCGGATTTGTTGTTCGCTTATAGTTTAGTGACACAATTCAGAGCAGCGCCGAACGGCTCTTCTGGGAGCATCAGGCTCTGATGTGCTTCTGATGAAGGTGGATCCTGGTAAAAGCAATGCGGTGCAACACATACTATCCCTCTCCAGCCCGCTCACCCGGTCTCCTTTCTCCCCCTGGTCTCCTTTGGCTCCCTGCTGCCCGTCGAATCCCCGATCACCCTGCGAAGAGGAAGAGGCAGGCGGTGGGGGACAGGCAGAGAGGGACTAGAGTGCCAGCACAGCTTTTCCCAGTTCTGCCCTGACCTACCTTGGGTCCCATGAGCCCCTCCTTCCCAGGGATGCCCGGTGGTCCTGACAGACCCAACTCTCCCTGGGAACAAAGCAGATGTCCATCAGCTACCAGTCACGTGTTCCCATCCCACCCCAGTGTCAGCATGGTGTTTACCGGCTCGCCTTTCCTCCCTGGCAGCCCGGAGCGCCCCGGGATCCCCGGCTCTCCCTACAGCAGGCAGGAGAGAGGCAGGGCGGTTAGTCCTGTGCCCCTCGACGCTCACCCCAGAGCCGTGGGCAGAGCAGGGGTCCCTGTGCCCCTGCCGTGGGGCCAAGCTCTGGTCTCAGCCATCTCCCTGCTTCCCCCGGCTGGCAGAGGCGATTCAAAGGGCCGCAACCTCCAGGCAACATCCAGTCTCCTGCGGCACCCCACAGGCACCCACTCACCTTCTCACCCTTGTTCCCATCGAGGCCGCAGGCGCCTTTCATGCCTCGGTCACCCTGCGAGGATGAGAAGGGAATTCAGCCACACCGAGCCGTTGCAGGTCCCAGCTGGGAGAGCGCCAGCGGGCAGAGGGGCCAACCCACCTTGGGGCCACGCATGCCCAGGGGTCCCGTGTCCCCCTTCTCTCCTCGGGCTCCAGGGATCCCATTGCGGCCAGGTTGGCCCTGAAGGAGAGCACACAGCGTCACGGGGATCCGCTCCTGCCCCACGGTGGGGTGGCAGCGGCACCAAGACGCGGCTCCTCACCGGCTCGCCGGGCTCTCCCAATGCTCCGACCTCTCCCTGGGGAAAGCAAAGGCATCGGTCAGGGCAGGTAAAGGGGACGGTGCCCCTAGCACCCCCCCCAGTACCCCCCAATAGTGGGGGGTGCCCAGCTTCTTACCTTCTGCCCGCCGGGGCCACGTGCCCCAGGAAAGCCCGTGGAACCCTTCTCGCCTTGCTCACCCCTCGCCCCCTGCAAGCAGAAACCCAGATGGACACAGGGCAGGAGGGAGAGCTCTGACCACGGCACAGCCCCAGCACAGCCATGGTGACCTTTGAGGCCAGTTCCAGCAGCTCCCTTTGCTGGGGTGCCAAGCACCATGCCGGGGTGCCAAACACCATGCCAGGGTGCCCAGAGGCACCCGCACACGGGGAAAACACTCTAGTCACTCTGTCCATTGCCTGTCAATAACCCTCCATAGTCCCCAAGCCAGCCATCCCTAGCCCCACACAAGCCCCCCCAGCGCCATACCTTCTCTCCGGGCATGCCTTGCTCCCCCTTGTCCCCCTTGTCCCCTTCCATGCCCTTCAGGCCACGCTCACCCTGCAAAAGGGGAAACACAGGGAGGGGTCAGGGGATGGGGAGATGCTCAGACAGGAGGGTGGGGAGGACAGACGCCCTGGGGCAGGGACACCATAAGGTGGCTGAAGGAGAGGGGACACTATGCTCTGTGAGGGAGGGTCCCTCGGCAGCACAAGTGCCCCCAGCCAGGTGTGAGGATCATACCCGCAGGGCTAGGAGCTGTCCTGTGCCACGAGCAGGGCAGACAGTGCCCTAAGGAGGGGGATGCACAGGAGGGCCTCTGCCCATCGGGATGACACAGAAGGGGACAGGGAGGATGGGGACAGGGAGGACGGAGACAGCTCTTACCGGCTCCCCCTTGCTGCCCCGCGCTCCAACGGGCCCCTCCACCACCACTGTATCGCCCTGCACACCCCAAGGAGAGAGAAGGGGGTGAGCAGTGAGGGACAGCACTGCTGCCATGCTGCTGCCCCCTGCCCCAGGGACTCACCTTGTCTCCTTTGGGCCCTGGGGCCCCAGCGTCTCCCTGCGAGGAATGGGAGATGGTGAGACGCTGTAAGCATGCATGGCGGGGAGCGGGTAGCACCTCCCTCAGGACCCCAATTCCTGGGGGTGCATCATTCACGCCCTCCAGCTCTCCAGCCCCCAGAGTCACTTACCTTGTCCCCACGCTCCCCCCGGTTCCCAGGCAAGCCCTGTGGGAGAGAGGAGAGGGGTGGTCAGGGAGGGACCTGGATGGGGGTGCAGCTTGGGAGGGGGCTATTTACCGCCGGCCCGCGATCCCCTTCTGGCCCAGGACGCCCGTCTTCACCCTGCGAGAAGAAAGAGATGTGAGAAGGGGGTCTCAGATGGGGGTACCCCCAGCATCACCCCACCCCGGAGACAGGCTCACCGTCCCCTCCGGGCTGGTGCCGTGGGATATCCCGTCCCCAGCGGTGGGGACATGGGGGGCTGTGGCAGTACTTACCCGTGGCCCTGGGTCTCCGCGCTCCCCTCTGGCTCCTGGCAGCCCAGCCCCTGGAGC